TCAATTGCACCACTATTATTTTTCCATTCAGCACCCCAACAGCCCATGGATAAAAACTGTTCTTTAACCTGTTGGTGTGGCTGACTATACTTCTGTATCTCCTGCCCAAAGGTAGGAGATTAAAGAGGTGCTGGCCTGGGTGTGAGTCATCCCAAAAATTTCCTCGCTCTTCCGAGGCAGCGGTCTCCCGCGATGTCATCTAGCGAACTCAGGAGACAGCCCATGATGTCCTGTGCTGTATTCACCACCCTCTGTAGGGACTTTCTGTCCGTGGCTGTCAAACCAGCGTACCGCACTGTAATACAGTATGAAAGGACACTTTCTGTTGTGGACAGGTAGAAGGAGATCATCAATTTTTGTTTGACATTGTTTTTCGCAAGACCCTGGGGAAATGGAGTCTCTGTTGGGCCTTCATGATGCCAGACAGAACCTACTTATTCTCACAACATATTTTAAGTAACTCCAATTCTCTCAGAAAGAGATAAGCCACACCAGGAAATCTTCACTGAGTCGCAAAGTCTTCAGGCTGGTCAAGAACCCTACAGGAATCTTCCAATTGCATCTGTCTGCAATGCCCCCAAACACACAACTCAGATATTACTTCTACAGGTTCTGGAAACAGGGAGTGGAAGTGATTGATTAGTGTAGCTGGGGCTCTGATTTTATTAGATCATTTTGTAGAAAGTTCTGCAAGTAAAGTTTTAAATAATATATAATGGGTCTGGAAAATGTTTCTTTCGAAAAGGTTTTATGCATCCAATCGCTTTAAGCTGCACAATATAATATCTGCAATGCACCTTACACGGTTCTTTTAGGAATCGGGCCAAATGGTTCATCTTCCCAACATAATTCTCTTTCTGGAGCTGAATGAATGAAGAGCACTAATCCAAGTCCCTTTATATTATTCTGTGCAGGTGCTGCCCCTTTCTGTGTGCAATGACAACTGCCATCCTGGCTACAGCAGGAAAAAGAAGGAGGGAGAGAAATTTTGCTGTTATGACTGTGCTCCGTGTCCAGAAGGAATTATATCTGGCCAGGAGGGTAGGAGACAATTATGTATTGTGATATCATTCATCTTCTGTAACATATCATATTTGCTTTGAGAATGCACATCCCTTGAACAGACAACCCAAACACAAGACCACTCTTCCTTGTGTTATTTCCAGAAGTTGGGATTCAGATGCATACTGCCTCATTGATACCCCTATTCTGTATTAATTTGTCCAATCCTCTTTTAAAGCCATCCAAGTTGATGACCAGGCGCTCTTGGAGGAAACTGATTTTCTGCATTGATTTCAATCAGGGCTTATATCAAAAATATCAAAAACCATAATCAACAGCAAACTCTTGCACTAAATTAGATTATTAGAATTATGCAGCACAACCTATAGAAATATTTGAACAGCTCTTTGTTGTTTTCAGATATGGATGCCTGTGTCAAATGTCCAGAAGAACAATATCCAAACAAGGACCAAACTAGATGCATTGCTAAGGTTCTAAGTTACCTCTCTTACAAAGAAGATTTAGGGATCATCTTAGCTACCTTGACTATGCTTTCTCATTGATCGCAGTTTTAGTTCTTGGGATTTTTATCAAGCACAGGGAGACTCCAATCGTTAAAGCCAACAACCGGACACTCACCTACACCCTCCTCATCTCCCTCCTCCTTTGCTTCCTCAGCTCCTTACTCTTTATCGGACAGCCCGGGAAAGCTTTGCTGTTCAAGGAATGGCATGCAGAGACAAAGTTAGCATCTCAGTAAAAAAGCACTTTTTCACCAATCAGTCAGTCATTCAATCAATCAATCAATCAATCATTTATTGTATTTGACTAAAAGCCATTACAGATCCAGTTACAAAAGCATCAAACCCAAAGACCCAAACTATAGCTCCCAGATTCATTTTTTTAATAAAAAGTAATCTTTATTAAATAGTTTTCCAGATGAAATACATTGTTTCCGGAGAGATTTGCATGAGGAAATCTTTTCGATTCCTCAAGAATAAGGGGCAGTGGGGTGAGGGAGCCCAGGGCCACATCCACACCATTTCATGTGCTATGAAGCCGCTTTAAACACTCATGGATTCTTCCCCCAAAGAATCTGGGAGCTATAGTTTGAAAAGGGTGCAGAGAGTTGTTAGGAGACCCCCTGTTCCCCTACAAGAGCTACAATTCCCAGAGTTCCCTGGCAAAAAGGGAACTCTACCCCCTAACCAGAGCTACAATTCCCAAAGTTCCCTGACAAGAAGAGAACCCTAACCCTACACGTTAACCCATAACTAGAGCTACAATTCCAGGAGTTCCCTGACAAGAAGGGAACCCTAACCCTAACCCTACCCCAACTCAACCCTACCCCTACCCTACTCCTAACCCTAACCCTAACCCGCCTAACAACTCTCTGTCCCCTTAACCACCTACAGTTCCCAGAATCCCTGAGGGGAAGCCATTCCTGTTCAAAGCGTCTTCATAGCACTTCCAATGGACTAATGTGGCCTAATGTTTCCTCTCTCATTTTCTTCTCTCTCCCCACTGCCCCATCACTTGCAATGCAGCAGATGTCCGCCTGCAGTCTTCCTTCAAAGCTCCTTCTCTCAGGTCTGGCCACAGCCTTGTCCATTGTTCGCTGCCAGTATTTCACGTTCATTTCTCCAATGTAAATAGGGACATCCTGCGGTTCTCTTCATGACTTTGAAGGCTGGACTTGGGGAAAGCCTCACTGGCTCCGGACATCCCTGTAAGGCAAAGGCAAACAGGTGAGTGGGATGGCCCCCATCCAACAGCGTCCCCCCAGACTCCTCCTCTGTTCGGCTGCCTGTTAACAAACAAGGCTTCCAAACCACTTTGCATCCCTCTCTGCCAGCGTAGCCTCACGGCATCCACTAGCCTGAACGCAAACTCTTCCAACAACCACCCACCAGCTGCAGCCTCGCCAGGTCCATTGCCAGACATCAACCAGCTTCAGAGCTGAATATCCGTCGCCTTCAGGTAGCGATCCCACCAGCAAGTAAACCTTTGTACTTGCCTTCTCCTTGCTCCACAGCATCCCAGCACAAGGCAATTGCCTCCTTCCGCTTGTCAGCTTGCTGCCAAGGGGCAGAAGACCACCAGGGCTGAGTGCCACAGAGCTGCCCATTTCTCTCTGGGGAGGGCAACTGCCAAGGCTTGCGCCTTGGCCCACATTTATGCTTTTGTGGCATCACAGTCAACCCACAGACAATGGCAGCAGCTGGGGAGGCATCACCATCACACCCTCAGCCCTCACAATGGGGGGGGGCGCAGCTCAGCAGTCAAAACACCCTCCCCCAAGGTGTGTCTATATCTGTGAAGGCCACACCGAACACCCAAGGGGGCAGGAGGGGGACATTTTTCAGCCCAGGGGCTGCATTTCCCTCCACATAACACTAGTCAAATGCACAAATGAACAGAGCAGTGAAAGCAAGCCTTATCTTTGCCGTTCAAGGAATGGCATGCAGAGAGAAAGTTAGCATCTCAGTAAAAAAGCACTTTTTCACCAATCAATCAACCAATCATTTATTGTATTTCATCTGGAAAACTATTTATAAAGATTATTTTTTATTAAAATCTTGGAATGTGTTTGAACTGTGTTTGAGTTTTAGCGCTGCATTGGCAGCGCTAAAACAACAACCACCTTCTCAAAACCGTAAGCACCCCAAAAGGGGCTGGGACTCAGTCTGGCTATGCTTACATGGCTGGAGTGAGACGATCTGAAGGATGCATTAGGCTAAGACAATCAAAAGTAAGTAGGAACATGGGAGGCTGCTTTCAGACCCTTGGACCATTTGGCTCAAATGTAGTATAATCTACGCTCATCGCCAGCAGTGGTTTCAGGCAAGTCTCCCAACCCCACCTGGAGGTGCCAGAGAGGACAGAACCTGGAACCTGCTGCTTTGCAGGGAAGGTGCTGTGCCGCTCAGTATGGCCTTTACAGTGTAGTATGCTATAGAAGTTCCTATGTAACATGCACAGTCAACCATAAGGCTACCCTGCCCCAGTATATACGGTCAAATAGACGTGAAATGCAAAACCAATTTTCCGACTCAGTGGTTTTCTTTTTATTCACCTGCAAAATAAGAAAAAGTAGTTTAGGCCAGCGTGAGTTGATTCAGTTCTTTTCAGGAAGTGCAGATAATGAGTGTTTGTTTTGAGGGGAAAGCTATTCCATACAACAGCAGCAGCCGCACTAAAAGCCCTGCTCAGAGTTTCTGCAGAGCGGGCTTCTGAGATCTTTGGAACTTGCAAGAGAAACTCTCCTGCAGACTGCAGCCACCTACTGGGTGTATAAGGGATAAGGCAGTCTCTCAGCTAAGCCGTACAGGAACTTTTAAGTCAGTATCAACACCTTGAGCTTGGCTCGTTAGCAAACTGACAGTGATGCAAACCCCGTAAACAAGGCAAATATGCCCCAACAAGCAACCAAGTCACGGCATTCTGCACCAGCAGAAGTGCCCAGATCAGTCCCAAGGTAGCCCCACATAGAGCACACTGTAATGTCAGTATACTTAGGATACATAATGTTTAAACTATTGTGGTGAAGCTGAGGTTTCCTTTGTTCATGTGGTTTCAGATCTCCTGAGACATCCACGAGAGCTAGAAATTTTGTTCTTTTCCTTAGAAGCTGGTGAGGATGGCATGCTTTGTGGAACCTAGAAGTAGTTTAAGAAAGTGATGGTACTGCATCCAAGCCAGGCATAGAGGCTCTTAGTCCTTTCTGAGCCAACCACTTCTGTGTTTCCAAACACAGGGGAGGTGGGGAGAAGTCCCACACTTTATGAAGAAATTGCACAATTCGCAAGTAAGTCGCCAATTAGCTGCCCACACAACTAACCTTTTGTGTTCCTAAAGCCTACTTTCCCTACAATGGAGCCGCTTGTACAGCCAAATGCTCAAGTCTCGGCTGCAAGAAGAAGGGGGGCAGGAAATCCCCAAGCAAACCATGAATTGCAGCCAAAGCGAAACATATTTCAGGGCAGACAGAAACATCCTTCTTTGTAGCAAGAAAAAACCCCAAAACCTACAACTTTATTGGTACTGATTTCCAAATGCTGAGGATTGCACAGAACAAGAGACATATAATAATAAATGGAAGGAGGTGGGGGGGAAACTCCAGATGTTTTGGGCTACTGCCTCATCAGCCCCAACCCAAACATGAGGACAGCACTAGTCTCGGAAAGGCTGCTGCAGAGGAACGGCTTAGGAGGCAATCTATTTGAGAGTTCTCTTGCACAAGTCCTGCTGAAGCGGAACGGCGCTGAGCCCTGTTGTTCTGGAATGAGGCCCTCTGCTCAAAGGGCTCATTTGAAGGCGTTGATCAAGGGGACCCCCCGCGCAGGGAGCTCCTGGTGCAGCTGGCGGAAGAGCATGGCACACTGGTTCCTCTCCTGGGCCTTGCCAAGGCTGTGGAAGAGCCTGGCCTGCAGATAAAGGACATCCCGGAGCTGCTCCTTACAGTCCACCTTGGCAAAATAGGTTTTGGCTTCGTTGAGGTTCAGGATAGCTGACTCCAGAGCTGTCAAAAAAGAGCAAAGTTTTTCTTCTCCTGCTTAAACATTTGCCTGTTTGTTTCATAAAATCCATATATTGCCCAGCTGTTAAAAAAACACCACCCCCTCAAAGATTAAACAGTGAAATATATTAAAATGCAGTTGATTAAATAGATTATAAAGCCAGCTGCCTATCTGGGCCTTCAGGATTCTACCTGAACCAAGCCTCCACCAGCCACGCCTCTCCTTGGCCCTGCTCTGTCCCCTTCCCATATCACTTCCCTGGCTGGACTGTGTCCCTGGGTGGAGGACGGAGGGCGGAGGGTGGGGTGTGTACCCAAGGGATGCCCTTGAAGGCCTGTGCCTCTTGGGCTGAGTCCTCCCACCCGCAATCTATCGTTTCACTCGCATGCCTATGGAATAGAGATGAGGAGGTGCACGGAGAGGTCTTACCTTCCGTCTTCTTCTGGGGAGGGTAGGAGGCAGCAGAGGCGACCTGGCACTTGGCCACCAGGAAGATGGCGGCTCCTTTGTCCAGCACTGCCCCGTGAGCCAGGATGGGCTCAATCGCCATGTGCAAAATGCTCAGCGCTTGCTCAGGAATGCCAAGGATTAGCTGGAAGGGAAGTGGGAGCCCCCCAACGTTAGGCAGAGATCATCACCTGCTGGTTTAGATTTCGCTTTGCTGAATTAGGTATTGTGTAGAAGTTAAAACGGGGTTTGGGGAACTTGTGACGCTCCCAGATGTGAGCGGACTACAATTCCCACCATCCCCAATGGCTGGCTGCGCTGGCCGGGACTGATGGGATTTGGAGTCCCAACTGCATCTGAAGGGCACTATATTGGTGAATGGCTATTTTAGATCCCACATTCCAGGGCCATTCACTAAGCCCAAGTACAGGAGAATGAAATAAATGCCTATTATCCCCCTTTTGTTATAATTATTATAGATTTATATACATAAAAATATATATTTATCTACAGATAAAAATAAGAACCCCTGAAAACATAAATAGAGCAATCATTTAAAAACAATTAAACACTGATAGATGTATTAAACTTATATGGTAAGTTTTACCATTTCTTTTTGTGCATAGAATTTTAAACTGCAAGCCTCTTGGGGCGAGGGGCTGTCTTACAGCACACTGACAGAACTGCATAAAGGAGCAGGAGGAACAAAGCAGGTACTGCTTGTGCCAAATATACCTGGGAGAAAGCCAAGTTGAGGATGGTTTCAGAGGCCAAGTACTGGAGGCGGTATTCCTGGGACAGAGCCAGTGCCTGGAGCAGGACGGGCAGAGCTATTGTGTGGCACAGAGACCTCCAGTAGAGCTCAGCAATGGACAGGAGGACACTAAGTCATGCAGAGGGGAGCAAGGAAAGAAATACAACAGTGTGCGTAAGTAGAGGAGCGGGAAACCCAACTCTTAGGAACGTAGGAAGCTACTGCCTATCAAGTCAGACCACTGGTCCCAATTGTCAAGTATGGCAGCAGTGGCTCTTCAGGGTTTCATAAAGCCACAGAATTTTAGAGTTAGAAGGGGCCCAAAAGGTATTATTATTATTATTATTATTATTATTATTATTATTTATACCCCGTCCATCTGGCTAGGTTTCCCCAGCCACTTTGGGCGGCTTCCAACACAATATTAAAATACAATAATACACCAAACGTTAAAAGCTTCCTTAAACAGGGCTGCCTTTAGATGTCGTCTAAAAGTCTGGTAGTTGTTGTTCTCTTTGAAATCTGGTGGGAGGGTGTTCCACAGGGTGGGTGCCACCACCAAGAAGGCCCTCTGCCTGGTTCCCTGTAACTTGGCTTCTCGCAGTGAGGGAACTGCCAGAAGGCCCTCGGCACTGGACCTTAGTGTCCGGGTAGAACAATGGGGGTGGAGACGCTCCTTCAGCTATACTGGACCGAGGCCGTTTAGGGCTTGAAAGGTCAGCACCAACACTTTGAATTGTGCTTGGAAACGTACTGGAGTCCAACCTGCTACAATGCAGGAGATGCAGTCAAAGAATCCCCGACAGATGGCCCATCCAACCTCTGCTTTAAAACCTCCATTGAAAGAGAGTCTACAGATTCCAAGATAGTCCATTCCACTGTCGAACAGCTCCTACCAGCAGAAAGTTCTTCCTGAGGTTTAGTTGGAGCTTGAAGCCATTGGTTCGGGTCCCACCCTCTGGAGAAGGAGAAAACAAGCCTGCTCCATCCTCCACGTGACAGCCCTTCAGATATCACCTCTCCTCTTCTCCAAGCTAAACATACCCAATTCCCTCAACTGTTCTTCATAAGGCTTGGATTCCAGACCCTGGACCATTCTGCTCACCCTCCTTTACATACCTTCCAGCTTCTCAGCTGGAAACTGGACACAGGACTCCAGGCTGGGTCTGACCAAGGCAGGATAGAGCGGTGCTATTAGTTCCCTTGATCTAGACCAGTGCTTCACAAACCTGGGTCGCCAGCCATGTTGGACTACAACTCCCATCATCCTTGACCACTGGTCCAGCCAGCTAGGGATGATGGGAGTTGTAGTCCAACAACAGCTGGGGACCCACGTTTGAGAACCACTGGTCTAGACACTATACTTTCAGAGGGGAGACATACCTATTCCTACCTAGGGGTGCTGGGAACGGAATCCAGGACCTTCTGCCTACAAAGCAGGTGCTTTACTACTGAGCCACAGGCCCTGTCCAGCACTTGAGGCTGGTATTATAGCCCCAGCCCTTCTTGCAGGAAATGGGAGAGACTAAAATAGAGGAAGCAGTGTGAAAGGAAGCACACTACAAGATATCTGAAGTGATTTACAACCAGAATAAAAAAAATTAAAAATGCACAAGGATTTTATTCTTATTTTTAAAATATAATATAAAGTCTGAAGTGATTTACAAGCAGAGTAAAAAACCCCAATAAAAATAAAAATACACAAGCATGTTTATAATGTAATCAAAATACTGGTGATGCCCAAATGCCAGGAAAGCAAAACATTATTTGTTAGTGCTGAAATGAGGGCTGCCCTGATACCAGGTGGGCCTCCCTGGGGAGGGTATTCTACATGCGGGGAGCTGCTCCAGGAAAGCCCTGTGAGCAGTGGTGTAGCGTGGGTTGTCAGCACCCAGGGCAAGGCAAGTAATTTGCGCCCCCTAACCCGTGGATTTGCGCCCCCTAACCCCCAGATGTTGCGCCCGGTGCGGCCGGCCCCCCTGCACCCCCCACGCTACGCCACTGACAGTGAGCTTCCCCCAGGCCCACGAAAGAGGCCCAGCAGGACCCCCAGCCTCACTCCACGGCTGCAGGGCTCTTAGAAGGCCCCCAGGGAAACTCGCTTACCTGATCACCATCTCGGTGTTCTTAATTTTCTGGCAGTGAATCAAGAGCTTCTGCAGGAGTTTGTGCGCCTCAGACATTTGATTCTGTGCTTTAAGCAGGATGGCTTTTCTGGAAGACAGAATCCCAGGAGCCCCAAAATGGAGTCTGAAGCACGTCCAATTTGCAGTGATTTCAAGTGCTCAAAATCAAAGGGATGTCCAAGTGCTTATTTTTGGCTGGATCAAGAGTAAGATTTTATTTACTTGTATCCCACATTTTAGGGCCTTACAGTCACCAACCACTAAAAACAATAAAGAAATAAATTCCTCATGTTCTTTTAAAAATATCTGGGAATTTAAATTTCTGTGGTTTAATTTACATTTAAAATTTTGTATATTGTCTGGGGGTTTTTTAATCATAGTAAGCTGCTTTGAGACCTAGATGATGAAAAGCAGGATATAATTATTCAAAATAAAATACAGACTTCTAACAGTATAATGCAAAGAATGGATTGCAATGAAGCGTCAATAGTTTCTGATTCAATCCTAATGCAGAGGCTCCGAAACTGTGGCCTGCAAGTTTCATTCAGGTGGCCCATGGTGTGTCCACTTTATATATTCATAGTGGTTTTTAACTGCATTTGAATTGCTTCTTTTATTTTTATTTATTTTATTTATTAAATTTATATACTGCCCTTCATCCAAGGATGAGTTTACAGTATAAAAACACAAAAATTCATAACATAATAACAAACAAACAAAAAACCCTCTCCCACCAACTCATCTGAAAGGTCATAGAACTCAGCAAGGCAAAAGTCACCTCGCCATGGCAAGAGCCAATTGGCACTGGGCAACAGACTTTTCAGAAAGGGGGCGTTAGAAATTGTTTGCTTTCCCTCTATTTATGGGCTCACGGGTGGCATCCTGCCCTAACCAGAGCATTCACACTGCGGGTCCAGAGCAGCATGGTATGCAGAATGCAGCTTGCTCAGATGCTGCGGAGGGAGGGGGGCACGCAGAGGGACAGGAAGGCCCAGACCCAATCTCTGGCATTGGGTGGCAAGCGAGGAAAGACTGCCTGAGCTCCAGAAGAGCAGCTGCCAGCCAGAGAAGACAATACTTGGCTAGGGAGACAAATAGTAGAACTTGCTCCATCTAGCTCAGTCATACATACACTGACTGGCAGCAGCTCTCCAGGGTTTCCCACAGGGGTCTTGTGCAGCTTCACCTGGAGACGCCAGGGATTGAACCTGGAACCTTCTGCACACAGAGTAGATGGTCTGCCACAGATCTGTGGCCTTGCCTTTAGGGAATAAGGAAGCATCCTAGTTATGTTTCTCTCTCTTCTTAAAAGAAGCAAGTTTTCCCAAGCTCTTAGGGCTGTACGATGGATAGTGAAACATCCAGGACTGGCAGTCCATGCACTCAATGGCTGAGGGCCAATGAGGCTTTTCCCAACTCATGCGGTAAAGCATTACTAATGCATGTACAAAATGTCTTACATTTATATATATATATTATTTTCTACAGTGTAACAGTGGGAACGCGGGGACGCGGGTGGCGCTGTGGGTAAAAGCCTCAGCGCCTAGGGCTTGCCGATCGAAAGGTCGGCGGTTTGAATCCCCGCGGCAGGGTGCGCTCCCGTTGTTCGGTCCCAGCGCCTGCCAACCTAGCAGTTCGAAAGCACCCCCGGGTGCAAGTAGATAAATAGGGACCGCTTACCAGCGGGAAGGTAAACGGCTTTTCCGTGTGCTGCACTGGCTCGCCAGAGCAGTGATGTCATGCTGGCCACGTGACCCGGAAGTGTCTCCGGACAGCGCTGGCCCCCGGCCTATAGAGTGAGATGGGCGCACAACCCTAGAGTCTGTCAAGACTGGCCCGTACGGGCAGGGGTACCTTTACCTTTACCTTAACAGTGGGAAAAGCTAGCACAAGTAGAAAGAAAGAAAGAGGAATACAATGCCTTATCCCACAGGCATTTTAATCCCATGTTAATGCTAATCCCGTTTCAAGGGGACATCAGGAGAGGCCCTTGTTCCTGCAGGTGTGTGATCTCTTACCTGTAAACCCCCTCGGTGCTATTCAGGGCTGTAATCCCAGCCACCAGGGAGCCAGCAACATGGTATTTGCCATCGTTCATAGCTCTGTCAAACTGGATCTTCTGGTCAAACAGCATCCACAGCTGGACAAGAACATTTCCGGATCAGGTTAAAAAGAAACAGGACAGGAGTCTTACTTACACACACACCTCATAAATATACGACATGCCAACTTCATATAGGTATATATATTACAGAGGTAGTAACATTTCAGGTTCTGCTTTCTTTGGCCTGACACAAATCAAAGGGTGCTGTAGCCAAGATGGCCACGACAGAACCCAGAGGATGGGGTGCTTGCTTTAGCAGAAAGGGTCAGGTATTGTTATCCTCCAGGATGCAGTCGTCTGGCGTTACCGGTGTCACGTCCATGCATCCGGAAATCCTTTCCGATATTCCTGGATCAGGTGGAATCTCTTTTTCCAGTTCACTCATCCCTGCAGTCCCCTCCCTGTCCATTTACTGAAGGGACTCTTTCGTCCAAGTCCTTTGTGCTGCGTGGAAAATGACTTCCTCTTGCCTGCCCTGAATCTCATGCCAATCACCTTCCTTGGAGGACCAAGGAGAGGAGGAGGAGAAAAACTTTTCTTTCTTCACACCATGGATAATGGCATCACTTATCTCTAAACCAGGGCAGAGGAACCTGTGGCTCCTCCAGATGTTGCTGGATTGCCCCTCCCACCTTCCCTGAGCGCTGGCCATGCTGGCAGGGGCTGGAGGGTGATGGGAGCCCAACAGCATCAGAGAGGCACCATGTTAGCCTTTTTTCATCAGGTGAGCTGCTCCAGATCCCTGGTCACATTTTGGGTAGGCTTTTACTTTTCACCTTTTCTGCTCGTCTTTCCCCATTTGTACATTAACCTTTTTGAGATATGGGAACCAGAACTATTCTCACTCAAGTCTGCAGAGAGCTTCCTCCAGGTGAAGCATGAGAATTTAAGAGGTTAGGAAGGCCCACCAAATCCTCGGCACAGCACTGTTCAGAAATGCTACCCAAAGCAAGCTGAGAGTGCTTCTTCCCTATGTCATAAAAAAGATAAGTCTCTGCTCCCAAGGAGCTTACAGTCCAAACATTGGGCCTCACCTGTGCATGCTGACTGTTGGGAGGAAATCTCTCTTTCAGGTGCTTCAGTATTTCAGAGGCTGCTGTAAAATAGCCCTGACACAAACATACACAGAAAGACAAGACTGAAGTAAATGTTCAAGAAATTGGTTCTCAAAATAGAAACTTGATGTCTATAGGAACTCCAAGAAAAATATAAGATTTGGGGAACAATCCTCCTAAGGCTAAGTGCTTTTAAGTCACATTGATTTCAACAGAAGTGAGAACTCTCTCACTGAAAGAGCCCTAACAGAACTTGCCTTTGGCTGGACTCTGTCCTTGACTATTTATTTGATTTCTTTTTTATTTCCTAACCTGCCTTTTTGCCATGGTACACAAAGCAGTTTACAAGAAAAATAGAAAATATAAAATGCCCCAAAATGAAACAGCCTGAAAATAAATAACTGATTAACACACCCTTAACTGATTTGAAGAGGTTTGTTTGTTTTTTCTTTTCATAGTATGGCCTACTTTGTCAGATGCAGAAATGGAACACTTAAAATGGTTTTACCCAAGCAGGAGCTGTAGAACCTTCTGGGACCAGGGAACTATTCTCCATTAGACTCACTTTTTCAGGTGGAACCCCCAAAGCACATCATGGCTATACTTGGGCAGTCATGGAAAGCTATCAAACATACGACACTTGCATGAGTATCCAACCAGAGAGTTCACTTGACAAGGGGACTCCACAATGGGCAAGTGTCATCAATTGGCTAACGTCAAGGTGGTGGGGTCTGATGGGAGCTGCTCTTTCCCAGAATGGGAAACCGAGAACCCAGCCACATCTTGGAAGTGGGCACCATCCACTGGTGTCCTGCATGGACTGTGCAACAGCTGAATTGATTGGTGGGTGGGATAGTAGTGCCACAAGGGGAAAAAGCAACCCTACTGGATGAGGTGGGACAGGGGGTGGGGCCTAGGGATGATTGAAAAGGCTTGGAAGTCTGACAGACAAGGGAGGCAAGCAAGCATGCTCACAGCAGATTCAGACGATACCTGAATATATATTATTAGACATTATCTTAGGGCTACCATACGTCCCGACAACATTTGGGCTCAACAACTTTCGGGGTGTCCTGGTTTTTACTTTTTGAAATATGACAACCCTACATTATCTATACTGATAGCAGCCCCCATTCACCAAATGGCCCTAGGGTGGATTACAAGGCCATCACAACTAAAATCAAAACAAGACTTTTAGTAAAACTGTAATACAGTCATACCTCGGGTTATAGATGCTTTGGGTTGCACGATTTCAGGTTGCGCACTGCGCCAAACCCAGAAGTACCGGAATGGGTTACTTCCGGGTTTCGGCGCTTGTGCATGCGCAGGAGCGCTAAATCACGCTTTGCGCATGTGCAGAAGCGCCGAATCGCAACCCGCGCATGCACAGACACAGCGCTGCAGGTTGCGGACGCTGCGGGTTGTGAACGTGCTTCACACATGGATCATGTTCGCAACCCAAGCGTCCACTGTATTAAAAACCACAGACCGAAACAATAACAGTATTAACAAAACAGCAAAAGGCTGATGAAAAAAACTGAGCAGTGAGGAGAAGCCCAGGGGGTGACAGATAATTCCTAGGCCTCTGAGGCTTTGGCACATCTTGTCCTCTCTCTTCCAGGAGCTAAAAGCTGGAGCAAAAGCTCTCTCTAGCAGCAAAGGGGTGATTTTCGAGGGCTAAAGACAGCCAGAGACTTGCTCTCCTCGTTTAAAAGCCAAATTTCTCCTTGGTCTTCCCAGAGCCTTTTAGAACCAAGGTGCTGCTTCAGGGGAAGAGTGACTTCTCCCTCCAGCCTCCAGGAAGAAAAGGAACTGCCAGTTCTAGAGCAAATGACTGCGTGGAACCAGAGCATGCAGTTCCACACACGCACCACCCACCTGCTCCGCATGTAGTTCTGCCAGGTGGCACAGCACCACAGCAAACGATTCGGTGTTGTTCTGCTGCACGCCCACGTTCACGGCCTCCAGGCTGTTCATGCTCAGCAACATCTGGGCCTGTTGGAGGGCCATGGTGCTAAGGCAAGAGGAAGATTTGAGCGCTGAAGGATGCTAGCCACAGACCCAGCACCTTGGGCTATGTGCAGAAGCATCTCAAGTACTTTGCAGCAAAAAATAAAATAAAATCCTTTGCCAGCAAATTTTTTTAAAAAAAATATTATTATTTTGCATGTTCCCTTTTTATTTTATTTTTGCAGAGTTTATTTCAGTTCTGCTGGTTGTGGGGATGACAGAGAAACTTTGTAGAGCAATGAATTACCAGGAAGCCTAAGTCTGTGGCCAATACCACATTCAGCAGCCTTTCCCCATTCCTGCAGAATCAGGGCATGTGGCAGGCAGGCGCAAACGGATGGATAAGGGTCTGCTCTACCTGCGACCGTACAGTCTCCAAATGGCCGTCTTCTGGGCAATGCTGATGTCAATGAGTTCGGACAAGCTGTGTTTCCAGTGCAAGAGGTCGGAGTCCTTTAAGGCGCCCATTAGTTTGTTGGCAGTCTTCCCCGCAAAAGCTCTTTGCTGAACCAAGGACTGGATCCCCAGGGAAGCTAAATACTAGGAGAAAGGAACAAAATAAACAAAGCCACAGAATTTGAAAAGGGAAGCAATTAGTCAACGAGAGCCCCAAGCAAACGACAAGAGCCAAGCTCGCAGGGCCAGAGTTTGGAGAAGGGAGGCAGCCCAGCGGCAGAGTGCCTGCAGGAAGTCCCAGGTTTAGTCCCTGGCATCTCCAAGGTGTGTTTGGGGGGAGCAACTGGGAACAGGGTGCTTTTGGGTGTGTCACACCAGTTACAAAACCTTCTCCCAGGGAGGGTTGCAGCTCAGCATCCAATGGATTTTTAAAAAAGGGAAATCTGCTGTGAATGCCCTTTACAGTTGTAAAAACTGCAGTTTTGCTTATTGCTAACAGCCCTTAGCACATTTAATCCAAGGGCTGCGTAAAATGGTTATAATGACAAAGGAATGGATAAATAAGGGTGGGAGAGACATACCGGCAATCCAAAATAGACGGCTTTCTTCACAGAGTGCTCCAAGAGCACACAGCTGTCCGACCTTTTCTGCTCCAAGATGTACAGCCAGCTCTGGAAAGTGAAGAGTTAAGGGGGGGGGAATGAATGTTGCATAATAGTTTAAATCAGTCTTCCATAACTTGGTACCTTCTAGATGCTTAGGAGTACAGCGTGTGCTGGCTGGAGCCGACGAGAGATGTAGTCCAAAACATTAGGAGGACACCAGGTTGGGGAAGGCTGGTCCACAGACACAACAGAGGAGCAGTAGATTCTCCTCTTTTATAGATGCCTGCAAACTGCCTTTCAGGAGTCAAGCATGCCAAAAGTGAGCCTCACATTAAGAATGGATGCCAGTGGACCACAAATCAATGGGACCCACAGAGTTATGGTCATAGGTTTTGACAGTGGTTGATGATGCTTCTGATGTTTCACAGCTTTAAAGTTTTTATTCTGCCATTGAGGCAGGAATCTTCTCTCTCAAATTGGTGCCATTAAAGGGGAAGGAAAACCTATAAAAGCCAAGGCATTTGCCAGTAAAGATTTGAGAACAGAGTGCAGTGTTCAAATGGTTAAGGAATACAGATTGAGCAAAAGAATGCTTTTACACAGCCATACTTGTTACGGGCCAGAGCCAGCTGGAGGAAAAGAATCAGCTTTTAAAACCTAACAAGTCAATTGTTTTCTTCGTTTCCTTTTTTAAACTAGATGAAACATGGGCTGGATGGAAACAACAGATCACAATTTTAAGCTGTTTAGTAAAACCAGCCAAGATTTTTGCAGACCTGCAGCCTGTCCGATCCTCAGAGTTTATGGCAAATAGGAACAGCATCTGTGAAGGCACCAGTAATGGAAAGGAAGTGAGCAACAGTTCTGTCACACCAGCTGAAAGCTTCCATCATCTTACCAGGCAATGCTGCAGGCAGACGTGGTCATTGGACTCCTGAGCGATCCGGATAGCTTCCTGAAGGGCGAGCTCAGCCTGCTGGCTAAAGTCAAAGGAAACACAGAGGTAGCCCAGAATCTCTTCATGCAGACTCATCCAACAATGAGATGTTACAGGCAGGGAGGTGGAAAAACCCAGGGGTCTGGTAGGAGCAGGGCCTGGAACCGTCAGGGGCCAAAAAGATCATATCCCATTGTTGATTCCCCACCCCGCCCAGTGGACTTCAGGGTTAGCACTAAGTAGAATCTTGATGCTAAGAGCTGGGGGGGCGGGGAGCACTTCTGATCCACAGTACACTCTGGGACCTTTGCACGGAAATGCAACCACAGTGCAAGGGGTCAGCTCCGGAAGGCAGAAGCAGGAGTGGTAGCAACAGCAGCTGGGAAAATAGGCCAAGGGACCGGCTGGATATGTCTGTGTGGAGATCAGCATCAAGAGAGAGAAGACAATCCCTCTTCCCCCACCGGCACGCTAAGGTCCCCCCTTCTCCCTCCTTGGCTCATTGAAAAAGTGGCTGGCTCTCAAGTCTTGCTGGGGGCTCAGGGGGTGAGTTGAGCATCGTGTTTTAGAGAAACGTTCAGTCTCGGTTGATTCATTTTCAGCACAGCAAAGAAAAGAACAAGTGAGCGAGATAACCACTTCATTTGTGTTAAAAACGTTTCATCCATTACTGGAATGACAAAGTTCAGGACACCTAACAGAGCAATCCCGTCAGTTGCTGTTTATTTGTATAACCACATTTCATATCAATTTTTTCAATATTACTGAATGAAACTCAGTGAGTTTGGGTTGCATCCAGCTAGGCCACGCTCACTGTGGACCCACAGAAATCAAAGGAGTCAAGTCAAAGTCTATTCATTCAATGGGCCCACTCAAAGGCTGACTTCACTGAACAAATCCTGTTACTCATGTTTCCCTCCATTAAAATGATGGTGATGGTTTTCTTTCCAATTTCCTATTACTATTTTATTCTTTACCATCATCTTATCACTACAATTTTTAGTTTATTTTGTTTTATTTGTTTGCAGTTACCATTGCCGCTAAGGAAGGGAACTATAAGAGCTTACCATACTGCATACCTGACCTCCCTGGAACCCCCTAGTGCAAACATCCTTACCTTCTGAAGGTGGCATGCTGAGAGGGCCTTCTTCCCCTCCCCCAAAAGGCAGAGAGCTTTTAAGTGCTCCGCCTTGCTTACCAGGCAAGTGCCGCTCAGCAAAGGGGCTCTGGATGCCCTTCGCGAGATCTTGTGGGACCATCTTGAGTTCACATGAGATCTCTCAGAGGGAAAGCAGCAATGTGGCAGATGGGGGAGAAGATCTCATGCCAATTTGTGCAGCAGGAGGAACACAAAGCAACTCACTAGTGACCAAAGCGGCAGTGCAGCGCAGCCAAGTTGAGAGCTGCGTATCTCAGGCTCCGCCCGCAGCCTTCATCGCCGTTGCTTTTGCTTTCTGCGCCGGTGAGTATCAAGCGGTCAAAGTAGTGAAGGAGACTGTGTGTTGAACTGAAGACATCTTGGACCCGAAGGCCGTTCAAGTAGCTTAAATAATGCTGGAAGTGAAAACAGCAGCAAACAACAGCTTGTGAGTGATCAGAGGCAACTGCAATGGCCACATTGAACACAGATTTAGCGCACGGTAATTTGGGACGCGGGTGGCACTGTGGGTAAAACCTCAGTGCCTAGGACTTGCTGATCACAAGGTTGGTGGTTCGAATCCCCGCGGTGGGGTGAGCTCCCGTCGTTCGGTCCCAGCTCCTGCCCACCTAGCAGTTCGAAAGCACCCCTAAGTGCAAGTAGATAAATAGGTACCGCTTTATAGCGGGAAGGTAAACGGCGTTTCCGTGTGCGGCGCTGGTGCTGGCTCACCAGATGCCGCTTAGTCACACTGGCCACGTGACCCAGAAGTGTCTCCGGACAGCGCTGGCTCCCGGCCTCTTGAGCGAGATGAGCGTGCAACCCTAGAGTCGGACACGACTGGCCTGTACGGGCAGGGGTACCTTTACCTAATTTGGTGAAAGGTTGCGAGGTCACCCAATGATAAATCTAGGGGCCATGAGGCCAAGAATCTGGTGGGCTAATTTCAAAGCACAGTACTTTCCACTTTCCTTATCACTGCGGTCCCCAACCACGTGCTCCTCTTTTTCCTGCCCATTCCCCCTTTCTCAATTTCCCACCCCCTCCTTCTTTCAGCATTCTGTACCAATTCCCATTGCTTTCCCAGGTGCCCTACCTTTCCTAGCTTCTAATTTGTTGACACATTCTTCTTTTCTGTATGCCCTCCTTTAGAAACAAGGCACCTCAACCAACGACAGCTCTGCTGCCTGCCCTGCCCAGGACATACTAGCTCAGCCAATGATGGTCAGAGATGTCACTAAAACTGTTACCAGTGCTACCAACACCAAACTGCTGAGTGTGCTACAGTACAGATTACACCAGACTGCCTAGGTGGGGGGGGGGGACCAAACCAAACTTACCGCTTCAGCAAAATCTGGGTTAAATTTTAACAAGCTGTTCAACTCCTTTTGCAAAGATGCTGGAGAGAGAGCTTTGGTCTCATCATTTTTCAATAAAGATGCCTGGAATTAAATTAAGAACCTGTCACTTGAGCAAGCAGACAAAGACAAGCATGAATTTGCTGGGATTAAAAACCATTTAATTTTATTATCACCACAGCAACAGAATCCCTTCCATATCAGGAAGAAAAAGGTGGCTGACAGCATGTTTACAAATTGCCATGGAGAGATTTAGCCAAAGCTTCGTTAGGCTACACTCAAAAGAGGGGCTCTTGCTAATTTGATTACGAGAGATGAAAAGCGGGCTTAAGGGATTCAGGCAAGAATGGCTCTCAAACATACCTTTCATTCTAGAATCCAGATGTCAATGCAACTGAACTCAAAGGCTGGGATCCAAAGCCCTTTGAAATTTTCAATCACATCAAGAATATATTTTACTTTAAAAACTGTTTCAGAATTCCAACAGAGTGAATTGGTATTAAGGTGTGAGGAAACAGGACAGACCTCACATGGCATTTTAAAGACACTAAGAATGGAGCACGTCTGGGGATAACCAGGTGCCACCATGGAAAAGCCCCCTCCCCAGAAGCCACACCTTTAGCTCACCCGACTGGCAGGTTTAAGAATAACTATTAACTTACCTGTTGAGATAGGAAGTATTCTGCTTGCTTCTGTGACAGCGGGCCATTGCAAGATATTTCTTCCTCCCTTGAGACAGAGCAAAAGACCCACTGTGAAATTTCTTCAGAATTCTAGCCTGCTAATAATTACAAGACTACCTTACCCCAAGACTGCCAAAGAGGCTGAAATGGCTTTTCTATATGCTCAGCCTATTGAATCATAAATGAAGAAGTCCGGGGGGGGGTCAAACACTACTTCTGGCCTGAACCACTTACTCACTCATTTTCAGCCCCTCATTTGCAATATGGGTGTAATATCGACAACCTCCCAGGGTTGTTGTAAAAAAGATTGAGATAATATGCCTTAAGGAGTGGGAAAATGAGCTCAGAGATGGAGCACGTTTTGCATGAGGAAGATCCTACATTCAATTCCTGGCATTTTCTGTTAGAATGATCTAGTCACAGATGATGGGAGAGACCTTTTCTCAAGATTCTGGATGGATTTGCTTTGCCAATTAATGGTTTTCATTATCTTGGAAAAAAGGGACAAGTGAGGTGCCGCAGGGTTCTGCCCTGGGCCTATTGCTGTCCAATATCCTTATAAACAACTTTGAAGGAATTGAAGGGATGCTCATCAAATGTGCAGATAACACAAAGCTGGAAGGGGTAGCTAATGCCACAGAAGACAGAACTAGGATTCAAGATGGCCTTAACGGATTGGAGAACTCGGCCCAAACTAACAAAATGCATTTGAATTGAGACAATGTAAGGTCCTACACTTGGGCAGGAAGAACCAGCTGCACAAATATAAGATGGGTGATATCTGGCCTACCAGTAGTACCTGTGAAAAGGACCTAGGGGTCTTAGTAGACCACAAGCTTCACATGAGTCAACAATGTGATGCAGCAGCAAAAAGGGCTAACGCTCTTCTAGGCTGCATTAACTGAAGTCAAGTCTAACGTTCTAATCAAGGGAAATTATAGTCCTGCTCTATTTTCCCTTGGTCAGACCACAACTGGAGTACTGTGTCCAGTTCTGGGTGCCACAATTTAAGAAGCATATGGACAAGCTACAATATGTGCAGAGTAGGGCAACCAAGGTGATCAAGGGTCTGGAAACCAAGCCTAATGAGGAACAGTTGAAGGAATTGGGTATGTTTAGTCTAAGTGTGAGATGAGATATGATAGCCATCTTCAAATATCTGAAGGCCTATCACATGGAGGATGCAGCAAGCTTGTTTTCTTCTGCTCTGGAGGCTACGGCCCGAACAAGTTACAAGAAAGAAGATTCCAACTAAACACCAGGAAGAACTTTCTGACAGTAAGAGCTGTTTGACAGTGGAACAGACTCCCATGAGAGGTGGTGGACTCTCCTTCCTTGGAGATTTGAAAGCAGAGATTGGATGGCCATTTGTCATGTATGATTTAGTTGAAATTCCTGCACTGCAGGGGGTTGGTCTAGATGACCCTCAGAATCCCTTTCAGCTCTACAGTCCTATGATTCATGTGGCTGTGCTGGCAGCAGCTGATGAGAACTGGGAGGACACCAAGCTGACAAAAGCTGCTGGAAGGGTTTATTTATCAAAGCAGGGCAGAGACAAGTTTTAGAAACAAATCTTAGAAGCTTACCTGAGAGGCCCATCAAATTCATCTTTCTCCATCTTCCCTTCCAGCTCCCCACAGTGGGTCAGCTCCATCTCAGTCTCGTCTTCTCGTCCTCCGCTTGTCTTCTCATCATTTTGGAAGTACTGCTGAAGAGCTGTGTAAAGCTTGTACACTTGGCTGAATGAGAGCTTGTTGTACGCCAGGATCATGTGGCGCAGGAACAAGCCTACAGGGAGAGGGGGGAGGGATCTGTTTCTTGGAGTGTATTAAGATGTCTTGATCGCCATCAAATCCTGCAGTACCCACTCACACCACTATGGGGAGACAGTCCTTATAACCAAGATAAGCGTACTCCACGCTAAAAAAAATTTCAATCACATGCCCAAATAAACTCTAATTTTGCACTCTGGATGAATGATGCAACTTAAGCAAAGCAAATCCACTTTGTTTTGCATAGCTTGTTCTGGTCATGAATAGTGGTTAGGAGCTCGGTGGCTCACTTAACATGCAACTCCAATCACTAGAAACCATATTCAACCATACCATTGGCTTCTGAGATTTTAACTAACATTTCCCATCCACTTTTCTGTATATCTTCACAGGCGTAAGGATCAGAAACCAGTACAGACTCAACTCATAGAGAACTGAATTCTTTGCTCTCCAGTTTTCCTTTATGCCCACAGACTTTCAGCAAATGTATAAACCCATCCATTCCTTTCTGACCTCTCTGCTAGCCACTCCTTTTATAGAGGAGTTTCCCTCAGACAGTAAAGAATTCTCAGACCTCCTCATCTCAAACCAAAAGGCTTCTTTTTCCTCTTTCTCCCTCACACACAGTTTCCTCCATGGTCTCCACTAGTGAAAACATAAGTGAAAGGCTGCTTCTCACCTTACAAAAACTGGCACACTGAAGTCACTAATCAAAACCATGTTTTGTGCAACGTGCAGGTACTGGGAAACTGCAGCTTGCTGGAGTTTTAAAAAATTATTATCAGTGCAAAATATCATCAGATGTGATAAGCTACACATATGACTCTTTGTAATGTTAGAAACAGCTTTATCTTGAAAATAGGAGGGAAGTGAGAGAAGCCCTGCTTTCTTTCCCCTGCCCAGGAAGAAGAGGTGAGCACTGTGGGCCCAGGACTCTGGCAGCCCCCAAGGATAAAGAGAGGCTCTCCAAGGTTTTTATATAATAAATGATACAGTACCTACAACGCTGGTTTTGTGAACTTCTGGTTCTGTTCCACTGAATGCCTCCGAAAGATCATCAAAGAATTGTTCCATATCTTTCAACTCCCCTCCTGCCATTAGCTTTATTCTGCAAGTGATACCACCACACAGAGAGTCAGATCATGTCCATCCAGCCCAGTTCTGCCTACTCACATCGGCTGAAGCTCTCCAGGAGTCTCAGGCACAGGCCCTTCCCATCACTTGCTACCTGATCATCTCAACTGGAGATGTCCTGGACTGAACCTGGGACCTTCTGCATGCAAACCACATGATAGTCCACCAAGCTATTGTCCTCTCCCCAAAGAATAATGTGGGGAAAGGGGCAGGGGGCAGCATTCATTTAGAAAGTGGCATTAAAATTAGATCACTCTGGAATGTCATTATTATTATTATTATTTTAAGAATTATGTGCCAAAGAAAAGGGCCAGAAACAGACTCGGGTAAAAACAACCAGCTCAGCAATCTGTATAATTTTCTGTGTGTACAGAGCACTTGGACGAGGATACGAAAATACTAGAAATGGCACTATTACATCATGCTACTCTGTTAGTTTTTGGGGATTTATAGGTAGACAAGTTCTCCACACCTTAAAACTCTATAAGCAAGCATTTGCAAAGAGAGCTTTGTGTTGTTGTTTTTAAAAAGTTTCAAATAAATGACTTTTAAACAAAACAAAAACTAGGTGTTATACAAATCTGTAGCCAGGATCCAAAGAACTACATAATTAACTCTATTATTAGAACTTTTTAAACAGTATTCTGAAAGTGAGTGACTTCCAAAGCAATTTGTGATATGACATGAGGGCAGTGATGTCTGTTTCCCCAAGACCATCCCACAGAACATGTGCCCACCAGAACCCTCAGAGTAGATATTTAGCTCCTCAACAATATGTCATTTTCTCCCAACAGCTGCCAAAATAAATTTTATAAGTCAATGTTCCAATCCTTATTTTCATTTGCCCAAGGGGAGATCATTCTGGGGGAGGCAGATTTCAGCTGGAACATAGGTATGTGGTGTCACTCCCCTCCCATAAGGCTTTTCTATAAAGGTTATACAAAGTCCTATACAAACAAATGCAACTGCTTCAAATTTTTAAAGAACAGGATATAAGCGATGTCTGGAGTGAGCTAAACCCATCATACATATTCATAGTGAGTTCTAAATTCCAAGTGCCTATTCTGATGTAGCCAAAGGAGAACCATTCTTGCGTTAATTAGTATTTATTGTTGTGTATTAATCGCCTTCTAAAAATGTCCCAGTTCAATGTAGAAAATGTAACAAAAACATTTAAAAACAACAGATTACTTTAAATATAATACAAAATTAGTACACATGGCAGAGACCTATTCATTCAACTGGGACAGCTTGAGAGAGTGGAGGGCTGTCAGGGCTTGCCAGGCGTTTTTGGCCCTTGGCCCTTTAAGTAGGCCTCACCCCAGACCAACAGGCAATGGCTCCTGAGGAGACCATAACTGGACATTGTCTGGAGACTCCAGCTGTGGGAGGAGGTAGGAGCACTTTCCATTAGCTGTCTGGTGGAAGAGAGGGAACCCTATTGCTGTGCCTTCCGCAGAATGAAGGTGGGGCGGGGTATAAAAAGCCTTAGAGAACAGGATGAACATCCAGAGGAGGGAATAGGCTGGATGCCTAAACAAGGCGCTTCTACAGAGATTGGATATGGTTCTTGCTTCCCCACTAGAAGCTTTCTTCAGGCTGGGCCTAGACAGAGCCCCCCCCCCGCCCCGCCCAACACCTGGAGAGGCATAGAAGCCCTCAATTTCAGAATAAACCTGCCCCCTGTTGGAGGAGACCCTCCCCTGGAACCCTTAAGCAGCTCTAAGATTTGACTTGCTGGGATTTAGGACTGACTCCTGAGCGGAATGAACTAGAAAAGGGAGAGGGAGTCTTGGACAGAGGGAGTCTGAAGAAAGAACTACAGTGGTACCTCGGGTTACGAACTTAATTAATTCTGGAGGTCCGTTCTTAACCTGAAACCGTTCTTAACCTGAGACGCGCTTTCGCTAATGGGGCCTCCCGTTGCTGCTACGCCGCCAGCGTGCGATTTCTGTTCTCATCCTGGGGCAAAGTTTGCAATCCGAGGTACAGTACTACTTCCGGGTCAGCAGAGTTTGTAACCCGAAGTGTTTGTAACCCAAGGTACCACTGTACACTCAAGCAGACCCCTGGAAGAAGAGGCATCATCAAGCTTGGGTAAACCCCTCACACCCATGGTTTGCAGAAGTACACCTGCACATGATGGGGGATGGGAGGGAGGGAACCCAAAGGTGGGGGGAACTAAAAAGCAGTCCAATGAGGTTTGAGCATGCTGAGTGGCCTTGCAGTATTGACTATTAAGGGCAGGGAGAGAGGGAGAGGCAGGAAAACTGGGCTGGAGAATTGATAGAATAGAGTTTCCTGGAAAATGGCTTTGTTGGCTTACTGCATATAACCAGAACATTCTGCACTGCCCTTTGGTTTTCCTACTTGTTTAAAAAGCCACATTGCTCTGTTTCAGGTTACTTAGACAATGTGAACTTTAGATCAAAAGTCACTAAACCTACTACTATGTCAATTTATCATGTCCTTATCTACATACTTGTTTAATTCTGCTTGAAAAAGTATTCAGGGTTAAGATTAAGAACTCTCATCTCAGTTATGCTTATGGAAAGAACAAACGAACTTACCTTATTTGAACAGAACTTGCTAAGTGAGGGCAGCATTCTTCAATAGCTTTAATCAAGCGAGACAGTGTCATATCAGGCCCCTAAATAAAGCACATGGAAAAACACAAAATAGTTAACAGCAATTTGTAGATGAATACAAAAGTAAACTGTACCAGCCCCAACATCTATAGCCATCTTTACTACTACAGGAAAGAATGTGCCCAACTTTGCTTGTTGCACTTGCACTACAAGAATTCCCAAGCTGGGTAATGAAGGAAAGAAAAAATAACGAATAGCTCCCTATGCATCCAAAGAACCCTACTGAAACTCCACCTTCCTTGCAGCTATGAAGGTGCAGCAGCCCTGTCTTCTTCCCCTGGTCACTCTGGCACCGCCATCAAAGGCAGTCCTACTCCCAATGCCCATTCACTGTATCTCCAGTGAAGAGGGGCCAGGAAACAGAAGAACAGAAGAGCGCTGTCAGAGCTAAACAAAGGAAAACCCTGACACCTCCAGTTAAACCTAACCTACCTCACAGTGGTGTTGTGAGGGAGAGAGAACCATGCACACCACCTTGAGCTCCTTGGAAGATGAAGGTGGCATATCAATGCACACAAATAACAAACCACAAGCTTTCCCCGACGACAGTGCGCACGGGCATGAATCTGGTGCCCCCGTGTATGTAGGTGTGTGTTGGATAATAAGCGGCGAGGAGAGAGGGGAACTAAGTGCATGAGGGGCAGAGCTGAACCCGCGCCCGGCAGGGTGGCCCCTCGCCCGAGTGCTGCCCCGGCCGCCCCCCGGCCGGCCCCCGCTTCCCTGGCCCACCTGCAGCAGAGGCAGCAGCAGCCGGTTGAGGCGCCGCCTCTCGAGCAGGCTGAGGTGCGGCCCGGCCCGGCCCAGCTCGCCGATCAGCACCAGCAGCGCCATCTTGTACGGAGTGACCCAGTCCTTGATGCCGAAGACGTTGGCGTGCACCACCCCGTTGGTCATCATGGGGTTGAAGTACAGGCTCTCGTGCACGCTGGCCATAGCGCCGCTCCCGGCTCAGCGGCGGGCACAGACCAGCGGCGCACGCACGGGCAGCGCTGCGCAAACGCCGCCGTCACCCCGGCAACCGCGCCCAGGAGCCCTCGCGCGCTCCACTTCGGAGCCAATCAGAGCGCGGCTCCAGTACGGCGTACTTCAGGGCTGAAGTGGAAACGCGGGGCGCGAAGTGAAAGGTTCCGCGTTGGTTTGGTTCCATGTCAGGGGAAAAGGAAAGGTATGTAAATAAATATAAAACTATAGCAGGGCTGTTCTGGCTTGGTCATTTACACAGAATGGAAGAGCTAGCAAACCAACTTTGTTGTTCTTTAGTCGTTTAGTCGTGTCCGACTCTTCGTGACCCCCTGGATGGCACTCCTGTCTTCCACTGCCTCCCGCAGTTTGGTCAAACTCATGCGGGTAGCTTCGAGAAGACTGTCCCACCATCTCCTCCTCTGTCGTCCCCTTCTCCTTGTGCCCTCCATCTTTCCCAACATCAGGGTCTTTTCCAGGGAGTCTTCTCTTCTCATGAGGTGGCCAAAGTATTGGAGCCTCAGCTTCAGGATCTGTCCTTCCAGTGAGCACTCAGGGCTGATTTCCTTCAGAATGGAGAGGTTTGATCTTCTTGCAGTCCATGGGACTCTCCAGAGTCTCCTCCAGCACCATGGCAAACCATCTATGCATTACAAATATGTCTACAAACATGACACAAAGTTTGGCAACAGCGACTCCGCCTGTGCTACTCTCTTGGAGACAACAGCAGTGCCTGGAGACAGGCAGTCAAGTTGTGTATCCACGGTAGTGACCAAAGGAGGAATGACCGCTGGGAGGAGCGCAGTGAAGAAGAAATGCCATGCTGCATCAGCACCAGCACAACCAGATACCTTCATCTGCCCAGCTAAGGTTGCCACCCGTCTTATATAATACAGGATTGCCCTGTATTTCAGTGTAAAATTCTAGGTCCTGTATTGAATCAATATAGGTCCTGTGTTGAATCAGTACAGGACACAGTTTGTCCTGTATGTCTGCTCTGCTGTGAGCGCTCTCTCTCTCTCTGCCCTAACTATATCAATACAGGATATAGCATTTTACATTGAAATATATTGAAGCAGAGAAGGGGATTCTGGATACTGACACCCTGCCCCCATGCTGCTTCTGTTGGAAAGGGGGCGTGGCTTAAACAGTCTTGTTGTCCCGCCCCTTCCCATTGTGCCCCGCCCCTTTCCCTGCAAGGGTTCAGGTGAGTGCAAAACGCCTTGGGGTGCAGCAGGCATTTTGGGGTGGGGGCTGGGGGAGGAGGCAATGCCAGGGGGAGGCAATGGAGGGGGAGATAGCAGGCAGGGAAGCTGTTGGGCAAAGAACCCCCCCAAATGAAGGGAGGTGGGTGGGTACCCATTTCGAGTATTCCTAATAGCACTACAGAAATACAAATATTTCCTCAATTTCAACTGAATTTCCTGCATTCCAGGGGGGTTGGACAACCTATTTTTTAATAGGCTTAATTGGATTTGCTGCTTTTGTAACTGGATTTGTAATGCCTTTTAGTCAAATACAATAAATGATTGATTGATTGATTGATTGATTGGTGAAAAAGTGCTTTTTGGCTGCAGAACATATTTCGCTTCCTGTTGAGTGTATTCCATTTGTAAATTGAGTCCCCTGCTGCTATGGGAAAGCACGTCTTGGTTTAAGAATGCTTTTGGTTTAACCCGGAACGGATTAAGTTTGAAAACCAAGGTACAACTGTATATTGAAATAAGTGTGTTGAATCAAAAGTCTTAACAAAACATCCTTAAACAATGAAAAGACAACAATCATTTCATTTCCTACACCCTTTCTTTTACACCACTGTAAATTGTAAAAAATAAATAATTGCTGTTTGCTATTTAGATCAATCCGTATAGCTCGTTGAGTAGAGCACGAGACCCTTAATCTCAGGGTCATCCTTTGAGCCCCATGTAGAGCAAAAGATTCCTGCAGGGGCTGAACTTGAAGACCCTCGTGGTGTAAAATAATGGAATGGAACACGCTCAACAGGAAGCGAAACATGTTCTGGATGCAAGGCAAAGTTCACAAACCAAAACACCTACTTCCGGGTTTGCAGCGTTCTTAATCCAAGTTGTTCATAAACAAAGCTGTTCTTAAACCAAGGTACCACTATATAAGCGTCAATAGACTGACCTTTTTAATAGGAAGCTACTCTTTATGTTTCTAAGCAACTCTTTAACTTTCAATTAATTCACCAATTTTATAATGGCTCTTAGTACCATTAAATAATGCCTTACAGTGGTACCTTGGTTTATGAACTTAATCCGTTCTGGAGTCAGGTCTTAAACCAAAGTAGTCTTAAACCAAAGCAGCAGAAGGCAGAGAGGAGGGGGAAAGCAGCTGTAATCTGGAGCTGGGAACAAAGGGAAGGAGAAAAACAGCGCCAGTGAGAGACAGGTGTGTGAGAGCTCCAATAGTGAGCCAGATGTTGGAATGCAGGAAACATTATCTCCCAAAACTCTAGGATCTCAAAAGTGGCCATTTCACAGGAAAGATACCGGTAGAGAAGGTGGGGGCTTCTGTGCTGGGGAAGGGGGAGTAGCTCTGTCCAGGCAACTCCATCTTCTGGGGGACAATGAGTAGAGGAGCTCCATCCTAGTTTTTTGTTTTTTTAATTATTATTTTTTAAAATATTTGTATTTTTCAGATCCGACTATGCAACAGAAAATGAAGGAAAAAAAAATGTTCCCCAGTATACTGTGTATCCCAAGGGAACACATTTTTTTGCATACCTCCAGCATATACATATCTATGTACATAGACATGTCATGTTCAATGCTATACATGTCATGTTCAATGCTATGTAAGTCACTTACATTTATACTCATATTGTACTACTTTGGCTATGTGCTTAATAAAATATTGAATTCTTGCATTCTGAAAAGCAAAATTATGGCAAAAAGTGGAAAACATGAATTGCAAAAAAACCAGAGTTTACAGAACAAAACCAACTTCAGATATGAAATCAGCACAACGAAATTAGGTTAGAACAACTGCAGGTGTCAATGCAACAAAAAAATTGTTTCCCAGTGTTATTTATTGTTGCTTGATACCTGAGCCTTGCTCCTCAGGAAATAGACTTGGCAATACCACCAGCATATTTTTCCGTAAGAAAATATAGTGTTCCTTTTGGCTGTACCAGAAGAGCAAAGAGCAAATTTAACTCCAAGCACTACAAAGATGGAATATATTCTTTTAAATGTACAGTTTAATATTTTTATTCTATTTTCTTTCATCCTGCTGTTCAGTCAGACAAGTCCTGTCCTCAGGTTTGAAAACTAAATAAGACACCCGGCAGAAGGGATATTGAGGAAGAAAGTAGAGGAAGAATAACTTTCAGCAATGTCCAAAGGCTTGAGATGTCCATAGGCAATCGTGTCTTGTATTTAGACAGAGCTGCAGCAACTGTCCCAGAAGCCCTTCATCCGAGCAAGTGGTGACTGGAACCTCTTTGTTTACTCTGGCACACATGATGACCTCAGTTGGAACAGCTGCTGTGGGACAGAACTGCCCCCCCCTGCTTTGTCACATTGCAATTTCCACGATTCTCTGGGACATTGTTTTGTGGGGTCTTAGGAAAAGCCACAGAGCCCTGTTTTTGTCTCTCTCTTTTTTTTGTTAGCCTAATTGATGCCATTTTGCTTCTGTAAAAAACTGCCTGCTTTGGAATTTAGGAGGATGAACCACAAATATGTGAAAACCAGATAACGTTGCTAGGCGATTGCACCTCCCTCTGCCAGGCAACTCTCCCCTTCAAGGGTGTCCTGTTTTGATCAGCGCAAGGAACCTCGAAAGGGGGAATGCCTATAAAAAGTATGAACAAAGGCTATTTGGGGCGATTTCACCATCACACTGGTGAGTGTGGCTCTCCTGCTCTGTTTTACTCAGCTGAATAAATGAGTGATTATGGGAATCTCCTCTGTCTGTGGCATTTATTGGCTTTTCAGTGAACAAGACAGCTTGGGCCCAGTCAGCAAACCCCAACATTGCCTAATGCTATAATGTGCTATAAACTGCTTTGAGATTATTTTATTAAAAATATAAAGCAGTATAGAAATGAAAATAAGAGTAATTCTCTTTCTGACAACACCTGCTTCTATATCTCTCCCTCCCTGTCAGTGGATTGCCAGGGGAAGGAACCAGGCCACCCTTATCTTACCAAAGGCTCTGCAATGTGAAAATCAGGGCTGCACATCTCCCACTCGCGGCCCTCATCCTGACAGCACTGCTAGGCACCCGTCCACCCCACGAGCAGGGCCATTTGCACAAGCCCTCCAGATCTGCCAACAGCTAGCAGCTCTCCCAACATGCGTTGTAAAGCAGTAGTATTTATAAATGGGCAATTGTTTGCATCTATATTCCCACTGCAGAATTCACACCAGGGCTACTGAAAAAGGAAGAAGCCGTTTTGTTTTGTTCCGGCAGTGCAATAAAATATATTCCCGTTATGTATGCATGTATGTATGTGTGCGCGTTTTTTTGTGTGTGTGTGTGTGTTTTTTTAATGCAATCAAGGTGCACTTCAGCCGCGGCCGCTGTGGACTTTGGCGGAAGGATGGAGGGAATCCCTCAACGCCCAGTCCTAATAATGCCGACCCAAGATGTCAATAATGTTGCATTCAATCGGGGCTTGCTCCCATGCCCATGCTAAGTGGAGTTAGAGTTGCCGCTTTAAATCGTGTATTTATTTACAGTGACTTACCGAAGAGAGATATGGAGGTCTTACCACGGTCAATTCCCCCCCCCCCCATCTATTTCTCAAAGATATTACAGAGCGAATGAACAGATCCCATTAGAAAAGAATGAGCTGTGACGTCATAGCCATTACTTCCTCTTTCCTCCCTCCCTCTCCCAGTGGAATATAGACTCTTCCTCCGCCCCTGCTCTTAATCTCCCCTTTCAGGGGAAGGGAAATGGAACGCCCTCCCTCTGGTTGGTGGCGCTGCGGAGCGGACGCCTTCTCGCTGCCTTCTGATTGGGCTCCAAGGGCAGCCAATGGGGAGGCGGGGTGGCGCTTGTTGGGGAGGCGAGCCGAGTCCTTCCCGGGCCCCTCCCGAGCTCGGCT